ATGTGTGGTGTGGACGTGGACACGAGCGGACCCATTGAGTGTGAACGGAGACAAGCAGCCAAATCAGAATAAACACATTTTTTTTTTTATAATGGCAAGAAACGCAGATTGATGGAGCAACACGCCACACTTGAATTTGTTTTTCTTTTTTTCTTCAGGACGTTTTTTTTGTTTGTATTTACGTATCTCTGTGGCGCCGTTCATGCGCCTTGCGTGGGGGCTGAGCGTGTCTCTCGTTAGTTTGATTTTTCCTGCCGTCTACAGTGTTTCCTTCCGGGTGCATGCCGATATGCGTCTGCTTGCTCCTGTTGCTTTCTCGTCGTTGTACACAAACACACACACAGAAGGACGAAGGAGATTAAGCATTACTTGCTGCTGTGCGCTTTGAAGGCTCTGCTGTCAGGGCTCACCACCACCAGCAACACACACACACACACACACACATGCCCAAGGTGTCCTGGCAGATGATTTCCTCGGCGGTGCTCTTCCTCCTCCTCTGCGTGCCGTTGATGTGCAACCGCAGTGAAGTTGTGCATGCTGAGTCGAGTAATTCAAAGGGCGTGCAGCTGCCACAGGGGGTCGAAGTTTTGGTGCCGCAGAAGACGCATGTGGAAGTAAACGGTGAAGCTGAAAGTCAAACGAGGGATTTTTTCAGCTCACCTTCGCTTGTCCAAGCTGGTGGAGTCTTGGTTGCTTTTGCCGAAGGCCGAACTCAATATACTGGCCTCCATCATGAACATGCTTCTTGGCTTACTTATGCTGATATTGTGGCGGGGTACATTAACGCTGTGGAGCCGTGGTCGTCTTTTGTCGCCGAGGTAAACGCAAACAAATGGAAGGCACATACCGTCTTTATCAGAGGTGCTAAAAAGAGGGGTAATGTGGGCCGTGCGCTTCTACCTACAGCAGTTGCAAAGGGCAACAAGGTGTTTCTACTTGTGGGAAGCCATGAGGCTACGTATAACGCTACCGCAAAGAGCTGGGATAAAGTGTCCAGGCAGCTTGATTTGCTCGTGGGTGAGGCCACGCAAGATAAAGTCATCCAATGGGGCAAACCCACCTCGCTATTACGGATCACCCAACCTGCTAACCAACGTGGCCTGAAAGACTTTTATGGTGCTGGTGGCTCAGGCGTTGTGATGGAGGATGGCACGCTTGTGTTTCCTCTTTTGGTGAGAAGGAGTAAAAAAGACTTTGTCTCTATGATCATGTACTCAAGGGACGACGGCAAAAATTGGGTGCTTCCAAAGGGCACGTCCCCTGCAGATTGCATCGACCCCCTCATCGTTGAGTGGGAGCAGGGGCAGCTTGTCATGGTTGCCAAATGCAATTCGCTTTCCAATGTGTTCGAGTCGAGGGACATGGGGGAAACGTGGACGGAGGCTGTCAGGATACTCACACGCGTGCATCCCATGTTTTTGCCAAACCCTTCGCGAGCAGCTGAGGGTATGACATCCTTCACCACTGCGACCATTGCTGGAAAGAAGGTCATGCTGTACACTCAGAAAAGGATTCCCCCTGCGAAGCGGAACGTCACGTCGCTATACCTTTGGGTTACTGATAACAACCGCACGTTTCACCTCGGGCCCATTTCCATGGACACTACAGAGAAGCCGATGTTAGCCAACACCCTGCTGCACTCGACTGAAGGACTGCACCTTCTGCGAGAAAGAGGCAGTAGACCAGCTAGGCGCCTGGTTATCACTCCCCTAACGGAGGAGCTGAAGACGGTCAGGTCTGTCGTGGAGACGTGGGCAAGACTTGAAGCAAGGAAAGGTGACGGCTGCTTGCGTGAGAGTGTGTCACGGGCGCTCGGGCTGCTGGGGCTATGCGGGGTTGTGTTTCTGTTGTGAGCCGAAGGAAAGAACTTGGGGAGAGGCGACCCGCGCTGGAAAGCACGCAGCATTCTTCCCATTAAAACATTTTTTCTGCTTCGCTTGGGCTCCTATTTTTTTTTTCGTGTTGGTGAAAAATATTGTCCTTCTTGCTTCGCTCACACCTTTTTTTTTTTGGGGGTGGGGTGGGGGTACGACCTCCCCTCATGATGACTTGCTTCTCCGGCCCACACCCAAGACGGGCAATGCGGCAGCTGCGAACGGTTGGAAGGGGCTGAGAAGAGCAGAAGCACGCTGGTGAGGCCAATGGAGCATCACTAAATTCTGAAGAAGAGGAGTAATACCTGAAATGAGTCGTACGCGTTTTTTTTTTTTTCAAAGTTATTATTGCTGGCAAAGTATACACTCAGTTTTGTGAGGCCACGCACTGCAGCGCAACAGGCAGCGGCTTCTTTAATTTGGTTTTCGTTGGATAAAAAAAAATACTGGACGATACTTGTTTCTTTCCCGCCTTTTTTTTTCTGTTGGAGGCGGAATGGGCGAGAGTTTTGTTTGAGATTTGTCACTTTGTTGGGCTGCAATGCCATTGCAATTTCCGCTAACAGTTGCATTTGCCCTTTCCACTCCACACCTTCGCCTCGTCTCTATTGCTATGTGCGCCCTCGCATGCTTCACTCTTCTTTTCGTTGCGTACATGCTGGCACGCACAACCACACGATTTATTTGTAGCAGTGGGCGGGAGGGATGCTTTCTTAGTCGGTGCCGGCGGTGCTGCGCGTGCTATTGCTTTTCTTTTGTGGCCATGAAGAAGGGTGAGGCAGAAAGAGGGTGCGCCATGGCTCCCTCTCCTTTTTTTTCTTGGGGGTGCGGCGCCATGCGGTGTGCTCTCTGATGGCCCTCCGTCTGCAGGGCACCAGCGGGGCGTAGTGGCGGTGCGTCGCCAGCGAGTACGTTGGTGGAGGTGTCGTGGTTCGGTAATGACAAAGAGTTGGGTTGACGTGTTTGTGGCTAGAGGGAATGGACAAATTGCGCAAACCGGCTTGAACCTTTTGACATTCCTGAGGCGACTGCGGGCGACGGTGGTGACAGCATCTGCTTCATTGCCGAGGCGGCGTACTTGGGCAGCCGTTGCGGATTGCGCTGCGGAGGGCCGGTGCCACAGGGGCGTGCTGCGTTCACGGCGCCTTGCGCGACGCAGGGCAGTGCGCTGCGACGAAAGTGGCAGGGTGTTGAGAAGCCTCTTTTTCCGTTGTTTCATACCGTCCTGCTGTGGGTGGCGTGCGCCTTGGCATTTTGGACGTTTGCAAGTTACGGCCCTGCAATTGGGGGGCAGAGAAAATTGGCCTGAATCACGGCATCAAGGAATGCTGGCAGCATCTTCAGCACCTGCTGCAGGGGACACTCCAGCAGAAGAAGATGCAGTTAGCATTGGGTGAGGGCTGCTGTTCCCCGTGCTGCTGCTGGGGGCGCAGGCAGTTCGGGTTCAACTCGGAAAGTAAACGCCTGCAAGAGGGTCTGCACCACTGCGACCTCCGACAGCCTCAGCGCCGGGAAACACACAACAGACAACGTGGGCAGCAGTGGCTACTCGCCGCTGTCGAGTAGGCATGCGATTGCGCCGTGTAATAAAGTACGGCGGCGCCCCTCTCCCTTGCGGGTGCGCAGGCGGTTGGGGCTCTGCCTTTTCTTCTTGTCTAAGCAGGCTGCGGCGGGAAACGCCACCGCAACGAGGCCGCCCCTTTCATCGCAGGTGGGCAAAGGCATGGGGATCGGAGAGGCGAACGCAATGCGAGAAGAGAAGCACCATCCCAGTTGCCTTTGCCCTGCGCTTCAAACGGGCCGCCCAGCGACATTGAAGTTATCCTCGCTGCTTGTGTTTGTGTGCGCGCGCGTGTTTGCGCAGGGCAACGGTGCGCCCATCTTTTCCTGCGGCGTGCGTGCGCGAGGTGGCGTTGTTTGCACCTGTTTGAGGCGGTGGCAGGCGGAGCGCGTGGGCAGCGGCCCTTCGCACCCACCGCGTTGTTGCTATCGCTGGCTCTCCCCGACATGGTGCGGCGCGTGGGGCGCCCACCTGCTGTTGTGGAGGCCCCCCTGCGTGTGC